AGTACTTGACCTCTAAGAATTTAGAATTTTATTACTGTAAAATAGTTATTATCAGTTTTGTAGAGAATTAAATTATGCATCTTTTAAAAACAGATTCAGTAATCTACCGGTTGTGCCAAAATAATTGTGACACTTTTTATTTTGCATATATCTCAGTAGAGAAAAGCAATATAATCTGGAAATTTTTTACAAAAGATGCGAAATTGGTTTCTCTATAGATGTCGTAAATTTTATTTAAAAACTGGATGTGCCATGAGGCATACCATCGATTGTGCTCTTGCATACAGTGAAAGGGATTAGGAACATCTTTTAACCAGTTTTTAGCATTTTCTATCCATGTTTCCAGTGTTGCTTGGGTCCAATTTTGCGCATATAGATTATCATCAGCCAATAATCTCTCGTATCATGCCTGAATTTTCTCAAAGTTCTGTGTGTTCACTGATGCTGGCCTCCATTAGCAGATCGTTTGGCAAAGGGTTAACACATCGTGTACATTGACATTCAAAATCCCAAGTTTTACTTAAGAGCTTTCGTCCTTCAGTTGTTGGCAAACTAGTCACGCAAGGCCCGAAATACTTTGCTTAGATGTTGGTTTAATATTAAACCTTCGCTGAAGCATTCTATAGGTGAGTTCGAAAAATACATTTCAGACTGCTACACTTGTATAGTAGTATTGATGTGTTACAGCATTTCGTTTAAGGGAATTGTGCTTCTCCAGGTCCAGCTGCCTACTAAGTCTGATAGTTCAATTCCGCGTAACAGTACTTTGATTATATCAGTTTTATTAGAAAAAAAGCTAAGTACAAAGTGCGATCACTCATCTTGTTCGTCAGCATAAATAATATAGTTTACCGTTTGATATGGTGGCATCAGACTAAACTGTTCGCTTTTTCCTACTGATCCAGTTTCACCAGAAAGGGTGTGAGAGTGAGCACCAGCTGATTGAACGCTGATGCCAGTTAAACCTCTATAAATAGTGTGTGAATGCACTCCATGATCGTTTCCCTTCCCACCTTGTGATGTATGAAAGGTCATAGTACCTTGACTATAAGGTGACTTACCAGTTTCTCCACCATGATTATGTCCTGGATCATAAATATCATGGATATGATTTCCACTGGTTGCTGTAGAAAGTGTGCCAGGACTATGTGAATGAACTGGCATCTGATTGCTGGTTATTTGATGTGTTGACATTCCCCCTCCGACTCCAGTTTGATAGGCACCAGAAACACGTATTCTCAAATCGTCTACACCAACCGGTACTCGTCCCCGAAGATCAGGAAGATTGAAGGTAGAATTTCCATCACCCGGTCCGTATCGTTGACCAAGGACGGTAAACAATCGTCTATATTGAGTTCGTGAAACAGTTGCACCATTACATAGAAGCCAGGGAACAGGTGGGTAGGCCGCACCAGCATACAGTTGAATTGTACCGATGAGAAAAGGTGGAGCAGCTTCTATCAAAGATGAAGTATTACCAATTGGAATATTCATTGTATTGATTGTTCTTATGATAGCACCACGATTTTTATCGATAGTGAGTTGTTTCGCTATAATAGCTACTTGCAATCGATTTGTTAAATCACTCAACTTGTAGACTTGAAAACTTTTTGGAATAAATTTCTGTCCGTTCCATTCAAAATCAGCTTGTTGTTCATTGAGCATCTTTTTAATATCATCTTGTGAATATTTCTCGTGATCAGTTTGTGCCAATTTATCGTAGAATGAACTGGACGTTGAAGACGATGAACCACCTTTGGCACCGACAGAGATACCAAGAAACGATACGCCAGCTCCGCCTTCCTTTGAACTGCTCTTCGATAGTGATTCTGCATGCTCCTTATCAACACTGTACAATTTATCTGAAGAACTATGAAGTTCAGATTCAGAGGCATTTTTGGTAAACAGTTTATTAATTTCACTGGTTATCTGATCTGGATTTAAATCGGCCGAGGACCAAACTTGACCGTAGAGATCGGCCTTTAAAGTTTCTTGTTTGGCACTGTCCATACCTAAAAAAGGACCCAGTAAATACATGTGTTTGGAGGTTCATGCGTGACTCTCACCTTGTTGTAACAACGAAGTAAACGTGTCTTGGATATCTAATGCCGATGTGTTTGTATTTGGATCTTCTAGGTAGACCATTTTCTTTACATTTGTGACATAATGTCCAACAAATTTCGATGCTTGATTACGATGAATATACTGTGCATCTGTATTACCTCCATCGGCGCTTGTCTTACTTGAAATACTTTTCAATTGATCAGCTGTAATTGAAACATAATTTGTTTTCACTTGTTTAAATTCAGCAAAATAGAGAGAAACTTCAATTTCATAATCGCCTCTCAAGATGCCACGTACAACGTCAGTTGCCAATTCGTTCGTTGCACATTGAAAACGCATTGTCATTGTCAATGTATTTGGATGGATTGCATGATAATGTTGTACGCCGACAACTGGAGAAGTATCACCACCGATTACATAAGCCGAAAGTGAATCGATCATCAACGGTGCAATATCCCAAAATTTTGAATAATTTTTAACTAAAGCTGAATCGAATTTATTCATAACAGCTTTTCGTGCCAGTTGATCGATTTCTTCGTTACCTAACATTAATTTGATACGTGTTTCATTGCCAGCTGTCCAAATCCAAGGTTCATCGCCTGTTGTTGGTAGCATCACTGGAACATAGAAAAATATCCATTTCTCCGGATCGTGTAGATTTTCATCGTTATTTGTAGTTGGATTATAGATATAGACTTGCGTATTTTTGTAGTAGAATAAAGTTAAAAGATAAGTATGAACAATACCATTTGTTTTACTTGATTCATTCTTGTTTTGTGGTGAATTGACCACTTGGGCGGCAGTAGGAGCAACAACTGGAGGAAGATCAACCGGTACTGTTGCATTAGATGTCAGAGGATTGGAATTAGCAGAGAAGAAACAGACAGATAACAGAAGATAAAAAACAGACGGTAACAGGCGAAGCATTTTGCCAATTTTTAAATGATGAATTCTCGCCTTTAATAGAAAACTGAAATGTTTTTCATAAAAGTATATCTATACACATATTTTGTGCGTATATTAGAGTATGTTATTTCGGATTTAACTGAAGTAACTGTATATCACTAAATCTGTTTCTTTTTTATGTGAGAGTTTGGCAAAAATATTTGTTTTATAAAGTGGAAAGTTAACCTTTTTCAACTTAAAAAAAAACTCATGAATTTTATATTAGAAAACAAATGAGGTTACAGGTACGAACATGACTACACAGCAACAGAAAACTGCAATGTTTAAGACTTTTTTGTCTTTTTTGCATAAGATTTTAGAATTTCTCTAGTTCCTAAACCGCTCTTAAATATAAATTCTTTGTTTTTGAAATAAAATAAATATTGAATATAAATAATGATAATTGAAATAAATATGATTTTAAGAATTAGTACTCATATATTTCATGTTGACCATGGATCTTCATACTTATATTACGTTGCTTAAAAAGCAAATCAGAGTCTTTTTTTCTGATTCAATATTCTGAAAAAGAAAAAATGGTGTACTTTGATTTGATTAATATTTACCTTTTTTGACTTTTTTGTAACAAAATCTCTGAGTCTATCATTCAATTCTGTGACCGCATAATGTGTGATAAAATGTATCTCATATTCATTCGGATACTTTAACAAAGAAAAAATGGCAAGTGTACCAGTTTTAGAAGATCTTTCAATAGAAATACTAATCGAAATAATTCAATATTTGTCAGTACTACATCGCTATCGATCACTGCACAATATCAATAATAAACTGAATGATGCAATTTGTCAAAGTACCGCACATGCCAGTTTGGCAAACATCGAGCTGAAACGATAGTTTGACTACCGTCTTGATTATTCTGATTCCATACTAAACTTCATATATCAATGAAAACGACTTAACTCTTTGATTAATTCGTTTATGTTTGCATCATTGGATACTAATGTAGAAGTATCGTCCACATAACGATACAAAACAAGCAATTTTGCATCTTGATTTTGTTAAATTAAGTATATGTAAACTTTTAGATTAGTCATAAAAATTTCGCGAAGATAGCTGCTGATCCAATCAAAGCCTTGTCGCATTGCTCATAATACTTATTATTCAACAAAAAATGGATATCTGTAATGGCATACTCTAACAGTTATTGTAAATGAGTGACAGGAATGTCAGGCAGTCATATAATTTATCTCTTTGATTAAAGGATTTGTTTGTGTCCACCAGCAGAGAGAGTAGATCCTAATTATTTTTGGTAAGAGCACAAAAGGAACACAGATCATGTACATAAGTAAAAGCAGTTGAGCGAAGATAAACGTTAAATAACTAAATTTGCAAGACCACCAATCTATTTGTAAAGTTACTGTTTTCTATGTCACTTTATATCCAGGAAGTCGTTCACAATTATATCGGTCAGCAGTGATAATGATGGCTATCCCACAAGTTAGTTTTTTCTGTTACACAAAAGTTTTCACCAAGAGAACAGCTGAAAGGGTAAAATCGCGCTAGTTTTCGAAATATGGACTTTTAGGAAAAGAAGTCATTGAACGAGTAGATAGTAGCGTTGAAAATATCTAGGTATATGCAATCATTAGAGATTTTTAAGGACTATCTCCTGATGAGTCGTATTTTTTGAGCCCGTATTATTTATTAGAATTTAAAGCACGAACAATTCCAAAATTCAGTGTGAAGTAGTTGAACTTGATTCCATCGAAGTACTTGACCTCTAAGAATTTAGAATTTTATTACTGTAAAATAGTTATTATCAGTTTTGTAGAGAATTAAATTATGCATCTTTTAAAAACAGATTCAGTAATCTACCGGTTGTGCCAAAATAATTGCGACACTTTTTATTTTGCATATATCTCAGTAGAGAAAAGCAATATAGTCTGGAATTTTTTTACAAAAGATGCGCAAGTGGTTTCTCTATAGATGTCGTAAATTTTATTTAAAAACTGGATGTGCCATGAGGCATACCGTCGATTGTGCTCTTTCATATTCGAAGAAACTTCTTTTTTGTCACATTTGAAACGTATTCGGATCAATTCAGCTGATGTCAAATCTAAATATCGTTGAAATGTGTAGTTCATCTTGCGACTAACAGTCCGGTCTCACGTCTTATATCCCGAACGGGATAATTTTCCCGATGGGCCTATAGAGTATATCCTGACTAGAATACATGTCTCGATCGGGATAGAGTCAATACTCCAATCGCGATATATATCCCATTCGAGATATCGATCCCGATCAAGCTATGTTTGATAGACACATTGAAAAACCTTTATAAGATATATGTGGTCAGCCATTGACCGTACTAACGAGTAAGTAAGATTTAGAAGTCTCGTAGATTTAAATAATCACATGTGGAATGATCATTCCAGAATATTAGTATTCTCAATTACGAACCCAAGACTCTCCAATACTTAGAAAAATTCCGCAGGACCAAAAAAAGCGAGCTGTACTTTTGAAGCTAGACTCTCAGCGAATCTATCGGGATGCAAATAACAATTCCATCCCTTAACACAAAACACTAGATACGTTTACAAAATACCTTCCTCGTATTTTAGGCTGGACAGGCTTTTGACTTCAGAATTAATCAACCACCACTTTTATATTCAGTTTTTAATACTGAATCAGAAAAACAACTTTGAAAAAGCTAGACGAACAAACAAGACGAAAATTTGAACTTTATTAGAACTAAGCGATTTTTCGACTTTTTACGTCCTTCGAATATTTTAAATTTTTCAACATGAAAAAAATTGTTTTTAAAATTACGAAATACATCTCAGACAATACATTTGCTTTATTTCTGCATTACGTGCATCCTATCTAAATTTAATAAAAGTAATTTTTTTCTTTCTTACTTAATCGGCCAACGGACGACCATACTTCATCCTCATTTGACTGTATATTTCGCAAGTTTTGCTTCACAACAGAAAGCGACAAAAGTGTTTATGCAGCCTATATTAGCACATTGACAAAACCTTTCAGTTTCCGGTTGTCGTCATACGATACTTGGAGATCCACAATGATTTATAAGCAGTTTTAAGTGCTTTTCTGATGTCATGAATTTTAGTATGCATTAGATGGTTTACAAGTGTCAGCATTTCTACAAGCAGCTGAAAGAATGTTAACATATTGATCACTATAAAAACAAACAACATCTTTTGCAGTACATGTATTCCATGGGCATACCAGTAAATGTGTAAAGCAGTTTGTGACTTCGTAGTCAGCACTAAAAGATTCTCTTTTACGTCAATCTGATTTTATACGTACTTTTCACTTTATAAAAGATAAACACACACCTTTGCAGCAATTTTCCTATTTTCACATTACAACGCTCCCAAATGATCATCATGTGCTTATTCTCTCTCTTTCGTATTTATGTCAGTTATATTAAGGACGCGTTTTATCATAGTTTATCTTGTTCTTTGCTCTTCTTGTTTTTATTCTTCTCACACATGTATTCTTTAGAAAACATTCTTTTGTATTCTGCGCCATTCTGTTGATCATACAACATGGATCACTAGATCCGCTAGTATGGCTTCAAAATGTATTATCAAATCCTTTCAAATAAAGATAGTTTAGACCAAAACGTTTTAGGAATAAAACCCGAACGTTTTTCCACTTTTGAAAGAGAGTGAATGGAATAGAATTTTGAATGAATGAAACGTGCATGTGACAAAGAGAGAGAGAGAAAAGATCTGAAGGTTCCTCTGTTTCTTTCATTTTGGAACATCAGCCATAAAAGTGTATCGGAAATTTGTTATCCAAATATTGGAAAGGAGGACCAAAATCGTACATAGTGATCCAAATGTGATGAATTATTTCACCAACAAATGCAAATGGTTCCAAAAAAGGTAATAATACAGTATTAGATGTTATCTATAAATTGACATAGTTGTGCAAATCCGTACGAATTTTATATGATTCGCGAATTATATGGTTCATTAAGTTTTAGCAATAGTGGCAACGGTAGTGGTTCATTGAAAGTAGTGATTTAACACGCTCTATAAGAAAAAAAATATATCTGTGAAATTGAGATTTTGCAAGAACGTTGGAAAATCGAACTCGATTTTCTAACAAGTTGGAAATCATTTATGGAAAATCGATATAAAGAAGCGAATTTATAGTGTCAAATTTATTTATAGTTGAACTTCTAGAGAAGTGACAGATTATATTTTTTGCTTTTGCGCTTTAGTCTGTTAATGTAATTATTGTCCACGAACTAGACTGAGGTGCTCCACCATCATCGCAGTCATCTCTTCCGCACAATATCGACGGCAGCGTCGACATGATCACTTTTTGCCGAAAATCCTCTGCAGTACTGGATGCTTTTTATTTGTTGCATGTCGCAGTTTGCGGAAACAGTCGTGTATAAAGTGGTCGATATTGTGTGAAATTGGTGGTTCCATGACAATTACATCGCTCCTAACATAAAAGAATCATTATGAGACGCTTACTCTTCGGCTTTCCACAGTTTCTAATGAGAAAAAATATATAAGGGTTTTTCGTTTAGGTTGAACAATACGAAGATACAGTGGAGACACTTGAACAGCTAATGGAAAGATTAACAAGACTGGTAGAGCAACAAACGGGTCAAACAGAAAAACTACAACGTGAAAAATATGTCAAAAATATTAACTGTACTTAAGGACAGATGGTTTATTAATTTAAGCTTGACTATCACAATACAATTATATTTAAATGCAATATGTACTGTTACTCTTCTAATATGTGGAAACTTCCAAATAGCAATATATATTTTCGTTTTACATTCAAAACTTGGATTCACATTTTGTTTTAATGATATATCAGTCGTTTGCGTAGGAAGAACTACCAAAGATTATTTTACTCTTGCAGCGCTAGGATTTGCAAAACAGCTTTGATTATGTGTATGGATCTGAAGTACTTACCAAAAATTGTACATAAAAGGAATGAATATGAACTTTATTTACTTAGGGCATACCAAAAGTAGTGAGGGAGGTACTTTATTTTCTTATAAAAAGCTTCAAAAAAAAAATTTCTTTTTCTATGAACAGATAGAGCGTCTTTCGCTCTACTTTTCTGTGCTATTTGATCACTATTCAACGAATATCATAATAATAAAATTGCGATAAGATCAGTTTCTTTCGCATATGTGCTGGTAGCATGAATGCCCGTAAATACTTTTTGCATAACATTTGATAGCAACAAGATAGAGAACTGCGGTTTTCACCGTTGGAAAGAGGAGATGAAGACGCATCGAACTGTATATTACTGATCTTTTTAATATGATTTCCGAAGTGTTTTTATTCAATTTTCTAATCGTCGGAAAAATTTTTGTTCATGAAAAAAAGCAAAAACAAAAAAGTTGATAGAAAATCGTAGTAGAGGTTCGTCTAAAATACGTACTATCCCCAAATAATTAAATTTAAACATCTGAATCTTTCGCAGTTTGTAGATCTTCGATTAGCGGTTTGAATGTGAGCCTGATTATTGAAAATTCACTGTAAACAATTTACAGGATAGGTTTGTCCTTTGAAAGGTCAACTAAAAACCTCGCAAAAACCTTGCAAAGACGCTCTATCTGTTCATTAAAAAAGAAATTTTTTTGAAGCTTTCCATAAGAAAATAAAGTACCTCCCTCACTACTTTTGGTATGCCCTAAGTAGTTTCTTTAAAATTTATTTCCTTTCTAAAAAGTATCTGAGAGTGCATAAAAGACATCGCTCACAGCTGTCCTAGTCCTAATTCTGTCAAAATTCTAAATCGCATACGGCAATTATAAAGTATCATAAATCGAGAATTTCGAATTACTGGAACTTTTAAATATCGGAACTGTGAGTCACAATAGATCTGAAATGTCTTGAATATTCGAACGGCATGTCTTGGGGATTTGAGACAATTTTAGTAGAAAATAAGATTAAACTGAATCGACTTCTTGGTTACAGCCGCCAGTGCCTTCAGGAAATTCAGGAGTACTTCAGCAGAAATTGTCGGATTATTGATAGTATTGTCGGAACTTGTTCACACTAATGCTGATGCATACCTTGTAATAAAGCAAAAACTTACTTAAACAGCAACCCTGGGATAGTTTATAACCTGGACAGGTCAGAAATTGATCTCACAAAAACGGACTTGTTTTTTAACGTAATTACCTTATAGTACGTGTATCTTCACACAGAAAGTAAGGTGTAACTTCGTGTAGAGTTCGCTGTGTGAACAACAGACTCGGTACAGCTTAACTTCTACTCCGAGAAAACGATTCACTACCATAATATATTATAAATCAAGAAAAAAATGAACATAAACTGCTAGTATAAGTGTCCATTACAGTTCTCACTTTTGCTGCTGTTTCTTGGTCTTATCTACTCCTGTGTACAATGCCGTTATCAGTCCCATCAATGTCATCAAATCGACAAAATCCAACGTACCACTGTGATTGCTGTCCACGGCAGCAAACAGACTCTTGGCCAAGTAGGGTGAGACAAAGCCGATACCCATGCCTCTCAGATACAGTTCGATATCTTCCTTAGTGATCTTACCATCGCCGTTCTTGTCAAAGGTTTTGAAGAGCGAATAAAACTGGCTGTTCAAAAGACCGTTCTCACCGGGTGCACTGCCGATGGTATCGGTTTTACCACGGAAGAGATTGTAAACCTGCTTGGCGTTACTGATCAGACCGTCATCTTTTGTACTCGGCGCTTTCTCCGGATGTTCCCTTTGTATTCCTCCATACATGCCTTCCAGCTGATATGCCAATGACTCATACGTCGGATTCTGACGTTCCATCGTCACCTTGACCAAGTTGCCCAGACCTCCTCCGCCGCGCGAACTGGATCTTCCCTCCAATTCCTGGTCTGGCTGTGTCTGGACTTCCTGACGGACGACTTCGGCAGGAAAAGTATAGGCAATCTTGTGAAACTGTGCGAGCCCACCGTAGCCGCTAACTTCGCTAGATACAGCAGCAGGTGCAGGAACCACACCTGCCTCCAGCTCTTGTTTCACCTCCTCACGAGCCACTTCACGAAAATCGTTGATAAACTTGTGAGCATCTTCAATGCCGACACGTCGTAGCATCGCTGATAGCGTTCCATCTTGAACATGTTGCTCGCCAAAGTTTTCCAACTCATTTAAGTCCATGTTCTCTGGATATACAGTAGCAGTATCGAATGTACTGACTCCTTCGTCGTTTTCTTCTTCTCCCTGCATTTGTCGGTCGTAAGGCAAAGTATAGCGTGGTAAATGATAAATAGAATTGTTACTTTCAGCAGTCATTGTGTGCGTGAGAATGTGCAGATATGATTACCTATCCGACTTTTTTTCGCTTTCTGTTCGCTTTTTTTTATATGATACGGTGAATAAATGAAACATCACCCACATTCTTGAGAATCACAATAAGATATAGCACGTGTCATAGGGATATTACAAATAAGATGAGTGAATAAATGATCATTTATTCATTTAGTCACTTTTGCTTTCTGTCACCTTTTCAGACGACTTTATAGCCGAACGTATCTACTATATATATATGCAAAATAATGATTAATGGTGAGCTTTTGCTCAAATTAATAAATGAAGCGTGATTTTCACAGCGTCATGGTGCCTTTTCGCTAAGTAGAAATAGACATGTTTAGCCAGTCAGAGCAATATTTTGGAAAGTAAAAAAATAAAAAATGTGAGATTCCAGAATAGGTATTAATATTCACACTAAAGTACTTTCAAAAGGCTCAGCCACACAGTGTTGGTCTTGAAAACTAAATCTGTTGTAACTGCATATCACAACGGAAACTGTTTGGTTTATAGTCATGCGATGGGATGAAAGTTTGTCTAATATAAAAAATGTTTTTAATGATTTGATTCAATTTGCTTTTGAACAAAACTTAATCTATGTAAGCAAAGGTCAAAATATTTTTCTTGGGTTCGGTCATGATTCTTGACGAAAATGGTAAAAACATGATTATGGAAACATAGTATTATTTTTATCTAGTCTTGTGTACTGTCGGATTGAGTAAGCATTAGCGGCAAGAATAATCGATACATGGCTTAGTCTACTTTCTCTCTGACACGTTGAATCTCTCTCATTGGCACTTCAGGATGCGATGTAGGTAATGATTTTAACCTAATCTTAGTTTCCCTTTCAAAGTACGACAAGACAGTTCTGAACTTTCTCTTCTTAAACACAACGCCAGTGTTACGGAGTAAATCTTCGATTTTAATATGATTAGAAGGAAGACATTTTTCAACGATTTGCTATGTTTGATTGTAATTGAGAAGGGCTTCATCAAACTTTTTTTGTTTGTTGTATATAACAGCCATGTTGTAGAATGTTGTGATGAATTCTAAGCTAAATCCTTTCGAATATTTCTAATGAGTTATTGTAGTAGTCAAGAGCCTAGCCATATTCATTCGTTAGTTGATATACATTTGCCAAATTATTGTGGTACTGGCACACATTTTTGTCATTATTGTGGAACGATCGATCAATTTCTAATGATTTTCCATGGTACATAATTGCCACATTATAGACACCTGTTTCTTGAGCAACACAGCCTAGCGCTCGTAACAGCAGCCGGCTTCATATGAATTTTTATCGTTTACTGATTTATCTGTCGCTCATCGCAATTCTGGGACTCGCTGATTTACTCATGCCTGCCAATACACGTCCAAATAAATGGGGATTCGCTTCTTTCTTCAGTTCGTTTCTCATATAGTCTGATAGTTCTTTCAATTCAGAATCCATTTCTCGTTAGAAAAACACATTTTTTCTCTTTCAAATGAAGTTTTTGAGGCCTTTAGTGTTATCTCTATTGCTTCACACAGAGAAACGACAGAAGAATTTTAAAGCCAGAGTTGGAAATCTGGTAAAATTCTAATCCTATCACACGCTTTCGACTTTCTTAAAGCAACTGTAGGCACCTCCACAAAAATAATTTTTGGAGAAACTTTTGACTCACTTGTTACATAGACATGTTTTGTGAATTCCTGAATAATCATTAGAGAATTTTTAAGGAATATGAAGTCAATAGCTTTTTAGTGACTTCCTTCTGATGCGTACAATTTCATTATGTATGTCTTGACTTCAAAAGAAGTGGTCTTATCGGAGTCTCATTAAAAAACAGATGGATTTTTTGAAATTTTTGTAAGTGCTTTCGATGATTTTAAATCGCTCTGTTATACGTAAAAGAAATGTGTAGAATAGTCTTGAGATACCTTTTCACGACGTTATTTTCCTTCTTTATGGATGATCATATATGTTATTTCGATGAGCTCTGTCTAAAGGTGGTAATACGTTTTAATATGTGGATGTACTTAATAGAAAGAATGCAGTCTCTTGCCTGTGACTGGAAGCCTAGGGTCATACAAATGAAATGTCCGTCCGTTCGCAGTAGATAAGTGACATTTTCGTACATGCTCACCACGAACACTAGCGACGAAAAGCTATTCTTCTCAGTTTTATGTCTAAAAAGTCGAGAATTTTATACTATTGTTTTAGTTGGCACCTTCATACATGAACAATCGACGTAAATTAAAGGCAAGATTAATACTATGTTCAATGAAAATTGTCACGCATTAAAGTGTGTGACGCTATACTCGCTTGCTCGTCACACACTTAAATGTGCGGTTCAGTTGTGTTTTTAACGTTAACCAAACAACTAAATGTTTGTTTATTCTGAAAAAAAATTAACGGTAAATGATCCATTTTAACATATTCTTAAGACGAGTAAATAAATCAGAGGTAACAAAATTCAGTGCATAAATGCATAAGTAACAAAGGCTTTAAATGTTTATTGCCTGTTTTCCATGACAAACTTTTTGCGGGGGAAAACTGTACCAGAAGAAACCATAGTGAAATAGGAATAAAACGGAATAAAGACAGTTGATAAACTAGTACAAAACCCAATGGCCATCAAACATCGGCTGGAAAGCTCAGCCTACAACTGAAAGACTTTCGAGAATACCCAGCTTGGAATATCTAGATTATCGCGCGTTCGTGTGATTGGCAAAGCAAGATATAGGCTGTCTTTAATAAAAGAAAGGCCGAAACCATCGCAAATTTGATCTATAGGACAACTATAAAGAACACAAAGAAATATATTTTTGCGGATTTCTAATAACCTTTATTACGTTTTTTCATAACAAGCAACTTAAATAGACACGAAAAACAAAATATCAATTTACTTGTGGAAAAATATCTGATGTGGAGTTATCTGTTCACTTTTAATATTAGGCAAAGTGCACAACAAAAAATAATAAAAGAATAACACAAATGCCACATGTCACCCAAAAAATTATGTACAGTTAATTCAATTAAATATTGACATTGATATACAGGAAATAAAGCAATTCATAAAGTACTACTGATGGATTATGTAAACCATTTTGACTTATTGTTACTTGAACTTTTGAATTTGAAAGAACACCAGATAAACCCTATGTACGGAATAAAAACGATTAATAATTTGTCGTTACTTCGCTACATTTAATTAACTATACCTGACCAATTCATCAAGTTTTGGATTTCATTGCAGTAGGCACATAAAACATGTGTTAATGTTTTAAATACTGTCTAGGGCGCAACGAAATATTGTGAATAAAAGTTACTCGGCTTGAGATTCTTAAGATTCATATTACTTCCAAAGTAATATTTTTAAGTATCATTAATTCATCATTGTTCAAATCAGTATTTATTAATAACCTGTTATTTGTAAAACTAATTGATTTAATCAATAATTGTAGATCGTCGACTGAACTTGTAGATGAGTTATAATTACAAACAACAGAAAAATTATGATGACGATCAATATACGTATGAAGGTTTTGCACAATTTATCGAGGTTTCTTTCGTGCCCCAGTTAATGATGACGACATTGATAAATTCATAAATTCAAAATATTTAACGTATGACATTTTCATTGTATTTATTAATAATTCGAGATGAGTATCTCTTAAATCACAATTATCTATAATTAGTTTATGAATGATAAAACCAGCGTTTTCAAGTAAATTACAAAATTCATTTATATTTTTATCTGTTAAGTGACGTTTTATTTTAGCTTTGCTTGTTTCTTCATAAAATTCAACTTTCCAAGTATCAACCTTTCTAAAAAACTTAGCTTTCTATTCCTTTGCGTAGCTGTCATTGTAATGATACTTACATAACCAACGAACATTCCCATGTATATTAGCCGCTCGATATAGATTACCTAATGTTTTACGTTCATCTGATCGTTTTAAAAACTCTTCTTATTCTCTTCTCTAAGCATATCGTACAACTGTAATCACCTTAATCAAATGTGGGCCATATTTTCTAAAAACTTGTCGTGGCTGACGAATTAAATAACCTTCGTGATGACGAGTATAACCTTCGGAGATGTGAGAAAGAAGGGCAGGTGATTTCTATGAACAGGTTCGATTTTGATTCGGTCAGACATATGTTAGGATGATCACATTCTACAATTTGTGATTTTCTACATCTCCCTTGCTTCCTTCCGAACATTGGGAA